CGCAATCCCCCTAGCTAAGGAATCACCTACTGGTTAACTCCACTTGGGGGTTCCTTGTGCAAGGAAAATTCAGCACTTTCCAAGCTGAACTCACTGTCTACACACATATTTCATCCTCCCAGCATCCACTGCTCTCCCCATCCTCCCTGTAGTGACAAATGAAACCACTGAAAGTGGGATTTACCAAAATCCACTTCTACTCTGGAAATACACTAATTCCACCTCTGCTCATTTTCACCCCTTTCTTAGTTTGTCAATACTTCCCAGGTTTCTGCAGCAGGTGTCCATCTCATCTCCCAACCTTAAGTCTCACTCCAGATGAGCCCACCTGCCACCCTTCACATCACCTCTTAGAGGTGTGAATCTGCTCATGTCATTCTCTTAAGGACACCCCTTCATGGGTCCCTACTGCCTTTGGGAAAAAAAGTTGTACTACTGGGAAGACACAAAATCGGCCACTCCGTGTGGCTTTGACGCCAGTTTTCTCACCCCTTTACTCCATTTAAACCTATTTTCAAATCCCTAATACCATTTATTTTTCCTGTGTCACATGCATTTTTCCCTCTGCTTGGAACATTTGTCCACAGATCTCTAACCCTTTTTTCCTCAAGCTAATTTCTATGCAGTGCATCAGTATTCTATATGCCTACTATGTTCTGTCGATTTTCTCTTCAAAGCACTTGTGATCCTATGCTGATATTTTAAATGGTGAATGTCTCAAAGCTGAGTGCTATGATTCTCTGCTCTATTTATCCACATAGATAGTACAGTGTGTGGTGACCAACCATGAATTCCTGCTAAGAAAGTGAATTCCTCATTCATTATTTGTGGCATTCACCCACTGGAGGAGACAGTGCCTTGTCTAGAAATAAATTATAAACATGACAGAATAAGATAGAACAATTATCTAAAATATAAGGCAAGTTGAGATACCAAGCATGAAATGACTGGAGAAATGAACAAGGAACAAAGGAACTGATAGGAGAGAGACCACTGTGCACGCACTTGTGTACCTTCTGGGCAGAAAAGGTTTAGAGAAAAGATCAGAATTAAGCTAGGCAGAAGCACAGTAAGCACCTGATGTGGAATTTAAGATTAGAGAACACCTAGATGTTAAGTTTCATGAGGTCAAGGGACAGCCTGGTCTTGTTCACTACTCTGTCCCTGAGGTCTTACACATGCTGGGCTCATAGTGGCAGCTAAATAAGTATTGGTTGAATGGAATTTTAAATTGTGCAGCTGGTGATGCAAGAAACATCTGTTTTTTTTAAAAAAAGCGATACTTTTCTCCATTTGCCATTCCATAAAAAGGTAATTTGTGTATGTGTTTACTAGAACTCTTTCCTCAAAAGTGAAATATTGCTTCACTCGTTGGTTGGCAAATGTGTTGCTTCAAGATGGAGAAGAATCTGCTTTAAATGAAGAGAAAGCTATTTCGGTCCATAATCCTCAGAGCCAAATTTGAATCTTAAAATGCACTTTTCATCAAAGAATCTTAACAAAAAGATTCCTGCCAATTTAACCAAAACATCTAAAAATATTTCATTCCAAAGCCAAGCTTCCTGCTCAGGAGCATTCTAATTGAAATCTCATTCCTCCAAAGATCTTTCATGGGGTGACAGTCATCTGAGTCTCATGGCTTAGATACAATTGCCACCTTCCTTAGAACTCTCAACTCTAAGCCATTTAGGAGTTCTGCATTTTCCTAATGCTTTTATAAATCCCCAAGTTTTCCTGAAACTTCTCTATACACAGTAGAGTTGCTATTACAAACCAAGCAGGAGACACATGTAACTCTGAGTTGGAAGTGAACTGAACATGTTCCTTCTCGTTCCAAAGATGAGCAAACTAAGACCTAAAGAGGTAGATTATCAATGCAAAGACATGTAGGACAGCAGCAGGAGTGCTAGAGACTTTGTCTCTTGGGTACTAGGATGGTATTAATTTCTGTTCATAGAACACCAATACATTCACATATATCTTTTATTAATTTTGGTGGTCACCTGAGATGGGTAAAATGGGACTATTACTTTCCCTTAACAAGAAGGAAACTGAGGTCACTCAGGCTGTGACTATCCTCAGTATGACTAAGCACCAGCAGTACAACTACCATCCAAGACTCCTGATTCAGTTCAGGGTCTTTTCATCATTGTCACTTATAAGAAGAAGCACATTGACATGGATGGACATTTTTTCTTCAACACAAATGAGTCAACAGCAATTTAAAATGGTCTAGTGCCAGCATTCTTCAAAGAAAGATGTGCTAGAATAAGAAAGTTACAATTACCAGAGGCTGCAGTCCAAAAAGGATAATGAGGGAGAGATATTCATATTAATCAACTGAAATTTAACTTAAATAATTAATGGAACTAACCAAAAGATCCTGACCCTTTTAGAAATGTGTTCAAAGGACAGTATACTACAAACATCATCTTAAGCACTAGTGATGGAATTACTCATCTGTTGCTTTGAAGCAAGAAACCACATTTAAAAATAAAGTAGCAGCAACAGATATAACAAATAAATTTCTTTGGAGGATTAGTTTTAGATTCTTTGGGTTGCTAGCTAAAATGATGCTCATTTTTCAACAAGCTACAATGTAGTTGAACATATCCACCAGTGTTAGCATTAGGCTAAGAAAGGAATCTGGCTACAAACTTTTTTAAAAAATATTTTTTTTAGTTGTTGATGGATCTTTATTTTATTCATTTATTTATATGTGGTGCTGAGAATTGAACCCAGTGCCTCACACATGTAGGGCAAGTGCTCCACCACTGAGCCACAACCCCAGCCTTGGCTTCAAACTTTTAACACTGGGTTCTAATCAGTAATGCTGCAATGCTGTCCCATTTACAACTTGACATTTATTTTTGTACTTTCAACATCCCATGATTTTCAGTCACAGTAAATAGCTTTAAATGATGACACCTCTCCTTAGCTGGATCTATATTTTGACTTGCAGGTCTTGGCATGGAGTCTACCTGAGATATCTCTCCAAAATGTTTCATAAAGGGAAAAAAAATGAATACAACTTAAGAAAGGAAAAGAAAACAAAAACTCTACCACTCAAACAACTTTCTATGGAACTCACTTAAGTGCTTAGTTAACCTATTGCAATAAACTCTAGTCATCTCATGATTGTCTCTTTGGATTCTAGATTCTTCCTACTATTTTCCCACAAAACACCATTTTAGTAATCCTCTAAGGAAGCAAGCATTAAAATATAATTTGAGAGCAGGAAAACAGCATAAATTAAAAAAAAACATACAAAAGTGTCTAATCCAACCACATGTAGGACACACAGAATCACACATGACTTTATATATAACTTTGTTTTCAGCAACACAATCTAGAATCAAGTACCTGGAACTTAGGAGATACCCACATTGGGACCATTTCCTATTTTTATGTTGAAACTCAGAATATAAACTGATGAAAAATCTTGATTCCCACCAAAGTGATTATCTGTATAGCTGAGAAATTCACTTAACAAATACTGTCTGTCCACACAGGGAATCTCATAATGTGTGGTTCTGCACATCCAATACTGTCTTTGGTCAGCATTGACATCTATTATCATAAAAACTTTCCCAATAATTAGAACACAAAAAGATTCATGCCACTACAACATTGCTGAAATGGTTGAACATTCCCTTAAGTTTTCATAAGATTCTTCAGAACCTTGACATAATCCCACACACACTATCACTTATTTGGGGGCAATGGATAAGGGTTGTACTGGTTATTTCAGGTTCCTGTTTAAATTCAGGGAATATGGAAACGTGTGTGATGTTGAGAGCCTGTTCAAAACTTAGCAGTTTGGTACATTGACCATCTTGAGTTAATAAATAAGAGTCCTAATTCTCAGTTCCTGATGGCTGGCCAAGAAGTGTCTGCATAAAATCTTACACACTGCACCCCCTTTCTTTAGTTATCCATCCACCTTCTGGACAGAAGGATGCACAATATTCTTAAATGTACTGTGTGCCCTGTCAAAAGTAACTCTGGAGATTTACATCAAAGTGTGGCCCTTCTAGATGGGCTTTTCCAAAGGAAAAAACTTTAAATTAGAAAAGTTACCAGAGAAATGCCCCACCTCAGTGGAGGAATCTGGGACACTTGTCTGTCATGCATGTCTGCAGTGCTCCAACATGGGCAGCAGGGGGCGCTCCTGCATGAAGCAAACCCCCCCCACAAGTGCTTCCTGTTTGGGGAACACAGAGGCTTTTTCTCTTAGCCCCAAGTCCAGGAAGGTAACCACTAAAGAAGCTATCAATAAATCATACAAGCTTAGGGCACAAGATGAATAACACTCCAGAAGTGACCAGAGATGACACGTGGAACTTAGCCAGCCTTTTAGGAACTGAGTGATAATTTTTACTTTTGTTTTCATGAACTAAAAGGGTTAAAGCCTGTGGCAAGCCATGGGGAACGGGGAATCCGGTTGTCATTAACTATAAATAGGCGATTTCCAAAAGCAACAAGTGGGCCTCAGTATCCAAGATTTTTTTGTTTAGCCTCTTTGTACCATAATTTAGTTTGTAGGTTATACTCTCTGTCATATAATTTTTCTGTTAAATGATAATAAAAACTACCTCTTTCCTTTTCTCTTAAGCTAACCCCAACCAAAAAAAACAAACAAAAAAAAAAAAAAAAAAAAAACACTCATGAACTGAATTTTCTATGGAGCCTTAAGAAAGGTCACATCTGCAGGGGTCTCCAGCATGTGGTTGCCTTTCAGGAACAAACATGTGATCCACTTTTCTCATTCTACACCAAGACCCAAGTGTCAGAATCAGGTTGAAAAGAAAAATATTACGGACCAAAATGAGCCAGCTCTGTAACCTCAAACACAGTGAATTTCAAGGCAAAATGTCATGCCCTTTCCTCCTCCTCACACATATATCCCCACATATCCCACCGTCAATGGCCAGCTCCCTCCTTAACCCTATTCCTAATCAAAGGTCTGCAGAGACATAGCCATAAACCTCCATACTCACCATATTGACTTCAGAAACCATGTCAATGCTGGCAATGTCAATGTTCATTCCCACAGCCACGGGGGGACCTGCAAACCAACATGGTCAGCCATGTGATTTCTGAGAACTTATTCATTCTTAACAAGAGTTGTCTTTAGGCATGGGACACCCTGCCTCAAACCCCTCTCCACTGCTAATCCTCAAATGCTTCACTTCCCTGCTGCTTTGCAAAAACAGTGGTAGACACCCACTCCTCTAGGAACTGCTCCACTGAATATGCACACACACACATGTGCTGGTGGTTGAGGGATTCCAGCTCTGTCTACATGTGCAGATGTCTCAGCTTGTGAATGCACACAACTTAGAGAAGCTTAAGAATCATTCTAGAGGAGAGGATTTTTATATATTGCATCTAAACCCCCTCCTCCTCATTCTTTCCCACACCCCCTAGGTGTGTAGGTTTTAACTCTGTGAATGCCAGAAAAGTCTAAAGCAAAATTAAATGAGTATATCACTATATTCAGGACTGCAGGGACAGATGTCATTTTCTACCTACCCCAGCTGCCCCCCTACCCTCTTACCCTACAGCCCCTCCCCTTCTCCCTCAGGCTGCTGAAGCTTGGAGGAGTGGATGATATTCAGATGAGCCACTTTAAACCCTGGCCAAAGGAACTATTCCAAAGTAGGCGGGCACAGGGGGTTAATGCCACCTCTCAACCAATTGCCTGCACATCTTGTTCTCAAAAAATGTTCACGATGGCCTTCTGCAAGACAGATTCTCTGGGCACACCATTAACCAAACTTAACAGGCTTGTCTCTCACGGAAGCAAAGACAGTAAAGCAAAGGATTTGTAACAGTGAAGGCAAAGGAAAGCAAGTCACCAAATCTGAGTCCACACTAAGAGGGTCTCTGAAAGACCTCTCAAGTGTTGGATAGTAACACATCAGCATAAGTTTGGATCCCTTTTTCAATATGGGAAAACAGAGATTCATTCAGTGTGCCACATGTACCCTCAACTAAGGGGGAGGAAGAGAGTGCACACAAAGCTCAAAAGGCAGCTTCAGCTGTAGCTGGGCTGTTTCTTATTTGCAAGGCAACCCCATTACCTCCAAAATCTGGTCTCAGACGAATGTCATAGCCTTTCAGCAGTCTATCCACCGTCTCTTTAACCAGCGACATATTACTAGGGTCATTGACACTAAAGAAAGAAATGACAATAAACAGGCATCAATGAGGAAGCAAGCACATCGTCTCCAGCATCCTTCTCACAGAGGTATGCAGACAGAATTCCGCCAAGTAAGAAAGGAAAAAAGACACTTACCTCTGCGCACAGACAGCGGCGATTATTAAGGGGAATGACCAAATCCCAAAGTAGCCCCTTTTCCGGACTCTCCACATCCCTTTAGTTTTTGATGGGATTGAGGGTTTCAGTGAAGAGAGGAGATCCAACTTAGTCTGCCCAGTGCAGTAATTCTAATGTGAGGCGCATGCGCACGGCGTACCAAAACATCAAAGGGGCAGCAGCGGATGCCGCGGACGGAGCAGATTTCCTTGTTTAAAAAAAAAAAAATTAAAGGGGAAAAAGGAAAAGCATATACATGTATAATATATACATACTTGAATTATATAGAAAGTCACCCCACAGGATCATTCCAGAGTAAAATCTTTGTTGATCTTTCGTTAAAACAAAAACAACTACAGCGTCTGGTAAGTTTCAGTAGTTGCAGGAGGCAGTTTTGCACCTCGCGGGTTGTGGGTTTTCGGTGTGTGCCTGCGTGTGCCTGTGTGTGTGTGTGTGTGTGTGTGTCCTCTTAAATATGCAAAACCAGATTAAGAATTTAGAGGAGAGCAGGTGTCGGGTGCGAATGGAAAATAGGTGCCCGGAAGCCCACTTCGGGTCTGAGCAGGCTGACAGGGACCAGGAGTTTGAACTTTATTTCCCTGGGTGAATAGCATCCCCTGCCTGGGGCAAGACTAGGGTGGGGGTGGGGACGTTCAGTGGGGGTGGGGTGGGTGGGAAAGGGAATCAGGGGCGGAGGGAGGGAGGAAAGAAACCAATTGGAGGAGTGTGGAGCAACCCCATGGATTTGGGGCGGGTGGGGAGAGTGCGGAGAAGAAGAAAGAAATGGAAAACATTTTTTAAAAGGAAAAAAAAAATGGAAAGAACAAAAAGAATAAAATGATGCTCAGTCTGTCTCAGGAGTCAAAGAGCAATCTTTTCTTCACTACTCACGAGCGATTCCTTTCTCTTCCTCCTCACCCTTTGCCCCTTCCCAGAGAAGAAAACCTCTGGGTCCTGGTTTCTGGCGGTGTGACGTTCCTGACCCGCTAGTACTGGTTATTTATAGCAGGAGGGGGAGGGGGCGAGGGGAGCAGGAAGGCAAGGCTGTCTCTCCAGGTTTTGGTCTGAATCTGCATTGGGAAACTCTTAGTGGGCAGGGTGGGGTTTGGATGAGGGGGAGGTGGGGCTTGGGGGCGTGAGGGCTGCAGGGGGTGGTGGCAGGGGGGTGGTCAGTGCTCTAGCACAGGTGAGGGGGACGAGAGGGTGTGGGCAGCGGCACGGTGCTGGAAGGGCAGGTGGGCGGCAGGGTGGGACGCGCCTTGGCCAGGCCCCCCACACTCCCTCAAACGCACGCGCACCGGCGCGCGCACACACGTGCAGGCACACTCCCCACCGCCGCGCGCCCTCCTTACCCCGCGGGCCCGCGCTCACCGCCCACTCCGGCGGCACGCGGAGCGGGCGCTTCCAACCCCTAGGTCCGGTTTGGGGAGCTGGGTACCCGGCCGTTCAAGGATTGCGCCCCTAGATCCAACAAGCTCCAGCGGTCCCTAGAAGGCAGGCAAAATGAAGAAAAGGCTCGCGACCGCCCGAGGCAGCGGGTTCTCCCTGGGTGTCCGCACCACCTCTTCCTTTCTTCCCTTCCCCAGCCCGGAGGGAATTGCACACCCCGAGGCTGCCTCTTCCCTCCTGCCTGAGGCCTCAGTAGGTTCACCGCTGCTACTGGGACCCAGAGAATTCAGCAAGACTAAGATGGGGAGTGAGGGAGGGAAAAGGTGCTCAATTCACTAAAGAAATATTTCCTCCGCTCCAGAGAAAGGGACCCTCACGGCACAGATGTCAGGGCCGTCTGAAGGTGCCCCTAGACCGCGACTACAGGCTCTGAGTAATCCCGAGTTTACCTTGGAAGGGGGTAAAGGGATAGGGCACTTGCTTCCGCTCCCTTGGCCCCCAACTCCCTAGCGAAGAACAGGAAGAGCCAGAGCTCAAACCTGCATTTTGGACCACAGTGCTTAGTCTCTAACTACTACTGCTACTACTAAACATTGTCACCATTAAATAAGAGCCCCTACTACGTGCTGGGAAATGCTATATTAACTCTTAACAACAATCCTAGCTTTTAGTTATCACTTCAGTGCCCCCATTTTATGGATTTAGAAATTGGTGCACTGAAGCTTTGGAACTTGCCCAAGGTCACTCAGGTGGAGAGAGGTAAAACCAAAATTGCGCTTCGGAAACAGCGTTCCTAACCACTAGACTAGACAACTTCAAGTTCAGATCCCTGACTGCTGCCGGATCTTCGCTGCGGCCCGCTGACCTCTTGAGCCTGTGGTGGGTGGCGGTGAGAGGAGCTGGGGGACGAAGGTGCCCAGTCCGGTACCGGCAGGACCCTGTAGAGGGTGGGTCCCTGGGCTGCAGGGTCCTCTGCAGGCGGCTGGGTCGAGCTGCAGGCTCCAGGACTTTGCAGCACTAGGGGTCCATCCGGTCCAGGATGCAGTCATGACCCACACACCTCTTGATAACTTTTCACCTCCCCCACCTGGGTTAAAGGGTTATTTGCAGGCAGTTTAGGGAGAAGACTCCAAGGAATCTGTGAAGGCTAGGGGTTTCCCTGGGAGGGAGGACGAACAGGAAGGGGGAGCTGTGAGCTTTCACCGACTAAGGAAGTTTCTAGGTTAGAGACGGGTAAAACAGCACTTTAAAACAACTACAGACACAGCGCACATCTGCAGCGTGACGCTCTATCAGGCTCCGAAACTCGCTGGAGGCCATCCAAAGCAAAACACTGGAGGGAAAGTGGGAGGGAGAAGAAGGGAAGACAATCTGTAAGTCTCCTATCTGTATGCACTTGGGTTGCCAGTTACAGACTTATGGACAAGGCAAATAGCTGACTTTCGTGCTCCCCCTGCTCCCCGCCCCAGTACTGCATTCAGTGGGAATCTTTTACACAAGCTAACTATAATGAAGAGGGGGAAAAAAAAAAAAACGTTTGGCTTATCAGCATTTGTAACCAGAGAATTCATGAAATAATTTGATACTCAGGCAGCCAAATGAAGAATCCTTATAAAGTTCCGCTCTCCCAGAAAATATCTCAAAACGGGGCTTTCCTTTAACCATCATTGACTTTGTATTTCCTATATTCCAGCCCCTTCTACTAGGCCCACTTCAGTTTAGGTTCTTAGAACAAAATTTAGTAAACAAAAGAAGCCACAAATACTCTCACCCATCTAAAACAATGATAATGACTTAAAGTATGTGTTGAAGACCTACTGTGTACCTAAAATTAAGGGAGAAGAGTTAAATAAAAGGAGTTTGCATCTCAACAAGTAAAATAGTGCAGTACAAATTGAGCATAAAGAATGCAGGTAAGGGCTGGGGATATAGCTCAGTTGGTATGGTGCCTGCCTTGCATGCACAAGGCCCTGGGTTTAATGCCCAGCACCACAAAAAAAAAAAAAAAAAAAAAAGGAGGTAAAACTTCCCTTCAAAGTCTAGCTCAAATATTTAGACAAGTGATCTAACCTCTCCAAGCCTCAGTTTTCTTTCCCGGAACAAGAGTACCTTCTCTACTGGGCTGTTGTAAAATGATGTAATATGTGTAAACTTTGCTATGTTATTAACAAATAATAGCAATCTTTTAATGAACAAGATATAATGAATGGAAAGAAAGCAAAAGAAGCCTTAGTGTCATTTATTTAAAAAGACTGAGAGGACATAAAATTTGGTACAGTTTTAGCTTTGTCTGAGAAGAAAGGGAGGAGCAGACATTTCCAGAAAATAAATGTAAGGTTCAAAAGAAGATTAGTATTAAAGACTCAAGCAGCAATTAAAATTAAAAAAGATGAAAGAATATTGGTTTTGTCTAGGTAGTAACATCACAGGGACTTTGCTTATCAGTAGCTGTAACTAACATAATTAAAATTGCATTCCTTCTTGTTACAAACCTTAAATTTACTGATGCCTAAAATGGGTCTTTATTGTATGGCAAATTAACTCTGGACATCACTCTTGAAGACATTTCTGATATGGTTGCTAGGAAGATGTGAAATGGGAAAAACCACATGGAATCTGAGAATGTGTCAGTTGCTGGAGAACATAATCCCAAATGTACAATGAGTAGGCAAAATTTAAGAACTATTAGGATATCATGCTTCAGCTAGGTGTGGTGCAAACACCTGTAATTCCAGCAACTCAGTAGACTGAGACAGGAAGATCTCAAGTTTGAGGCTAGACTCCCCAATTTAGTGAGGCCTAAACAACTTAGTGAGATCCTGACTTAGAATAAAAAACAAAAAAGGATGTGGCTCAATGGATAAGCATCTCAATCCCTGGTACCAAAAAAAAAAAAAAAATCATGCTTCAATGTAATCTGATTGTATACTGTATAAATAAATGCAAATTAAAAACAGTCATCAACCATCTGCCATTCTTCTTCATAATATTCATTCGTGTATACATATATGTAATGTATATATACAGCGCTTACTCTTTGTCATGGAACAAGCACTAGGGATAATGAACTGAAAAGTCAGACATGACCCTTATCTTGAAGTTTGCACTCTGTTGTTGCAGAGAAAACTAGCATACAAATAGGTGTAAATGTAACGTGTGAAGTGAAAAAGATAGGAGATTGTGGAACCCATAATTGATGCATGTAGCTCATTCTGAGGTTGTAGGTAAAACTTTCCTGAAGAAATTCAGTTGGGATTTGAAAGATAGGCCAACCTGATACAGAAAAGAATATTCCAGGCAGAGGAACTTATATGAATAAATTTCCTGGGTCAAGAAGGGATGGCATAAATGAAGAATGAGAAGAACAGTAAGATTGTTGTTGTATTGGACTGGGGTAAAAATGGCTATTGATTCTTAATTCTCCTTCCCAGCAGTTAAGAGCTGGGAAGGATGACTGGGACTATGGATGGGTTGAAGCAGAAGTGTGACAGATGAGTTTTAATCACACTGGAAGAAGACAGTAATGGCTGTAAGGGATGTGTCAGGAAGAATTTGCAAGGACTTGGTGAGAGATGATGTTGGTTTGAATTAGGATGGTGACAATGACAATGAATAGAAGTGACTTACAGCCACGTGGGAGAAGTTGCTAACCTCTGTGACAGATGGGACATGGAGAGTGAGGTTTGAGCAGGATTCAGGGATGACTCATACGTTTCTGGTTTGAGTAACTCAGTGGTAGTGGTAGAAGAGAGTTGATGGAGATGATATATACTCATTTTGGTCATATTGAGTATCTAGTCAATTCAGTTTATCATGGACATTTTGCTGTATGCAACTAAAGCTCAGAACTGAGGGATGAACTGAGGTCCATGCAAACTTTCCATGCTCCATCTTGATACTATATTTCCCTTTTCTGCTCTGATTTTTTTTTTTTTTTGCTTTATAATTTATAACTATGTGACTATGTTATAATAACCATATTTTACCTATTTTTCTATCTTCCTGCATGGAAATAAAAAGTGTTACCTTGATTTTTTTTCTTTGCCCTCCTCATTGCTGTTTATAAAATATAGTAATATAGTACTTATAGAATATTCTTAAAACTTACTTTTGAGGGAATGTGTGTATATTTAATGATCTAGAAGAGAAATTTCTAGCAAAAGACAGTGACAGCTAACAGAAGCTTTGGTCAAATTCGTATCCACCCTAACAGTAAGATGAAAATTAATACATTATTATCAAATCCAATGACACAGAATATATTAGTAAGGGAGAACTAATCAAATGCATTAAAATCCTTTAAAAATTCACAAAAATTCCAAAGAGGTATTATACACTCATGGTATGAAATTCAAAAGGTATGTCACACTTTCCCCTTGCTAGCAAGATTCTATACCTACAGACAGATAATTTAGTTTACTTATTGGGTGGTGATAAGTTTTTCTAACATTATAACCATTTTTATTGAAAAAGTATGAGATACACCCACAGGTTCCAGGTGGTCCTTCTGACCTGCTGCTAGAAAAGCAACAGGAAATGGTGGTTTTGGAGAAGATCCTCATGGAATATGGATTACCAATTTCACTAACGCCTTTAAGCATTTGAATATATGTAATTATATAATTATTTTTAAAAATTAACAATGGCTCTCAG